ATCGTTTCCTACGCTCTACATTTCAAGAAACGTTTCAAACAAAAAACCCATTGATCTATTACTAATTGCCAATGGCTGTATGGAACATTACTGCTGGATTAAAAATATGTCTAGACCAACGCCGAACGTCATCAGCAATCATAACGGCCGAATATATCCATGCTGTAGATGCGAATCCCATTTTAGAACCGCCGAAAGTTAGTTCAACATAAAGAAGATTGCCTTGGATTAAACGCTCCACCTTCTCAAGTCGTGCTACCCAAAGAAGATAAAGTCCAAAACATCCTCAGATTTAAAAATCACAAAAATAATCAACCCGCGCCATTCATTACATATGCCGGTTTTTAATCTGTTTTAGAACCTGTGCTTTTCCAAGAAGGGAATATGGTTAAAACGCAACATCCCAAGCCATTGGGTCACTCGTACTTTGTCATTTGATGCTACGGCGTTTGTATGAAAAAAATATATCGAGGAGCAGATTGTGAAAGAAAAACGCAAAATCAACGACGTGTTTGCCAAGATATGATCAATGCCATTGTATTAATCCGGGAAACCCGGAAACCAAAGCCGAAAAGGAAGCATCTAAAAATATAAGAGATGACGGCTATATCGAATACCATTGCATTTCCGGAAATTTAATGACTATTGCCACATCACCGGTGAATATAGAGGAGTGGCACACAATCGCTGTAATCTACAACTGAAAATCATTCCAGACAAATTGATATTCCGGTATTTTACAAAGTTTGGAAAATTACGACGCTCATTTGATTATGCAAGGACTATCCTCATCGAGCGACGACAAACTGTTTTGTATTTCAAAAAACTCTGAAAAGTACATTTCTTTTTCTGTGGTCCAACTCAAGTTTTTAGATGAGCTACTTTTAGAAAAAGGCGTTTACCCCATGAGTACATCGATTTTTTGATCGATTCGACGAAAAGCAATGACCATCGCGAGAAGCGTTTTATATTTCATTCAAACAAGAGACTGTATCCGAAGAAGCTTACGCAAGAGCCCAGCGGGTCTGGCAAGTATTTGGATGTCGTACCTTAGGCGACTTTTACGATCTGTACGTCGAAACGCTTTGGACGCTTTGTTGAAACATTTGGGCGTTCAACTCGAACTTTTGACTGATATCGACAAACATCTATTTTTTGAATGTGCAAAACGCGGCGGCATATCTAGCATTGGGGCCGTTCGTTACGCAAAAGCAAATAACAAATATTTACCCTATTACGACCCAAATCACCCAACGTCGTAATCGCCTACCTCGATGCAAACAATTTATACGGTTGGGCCATGAGCCAATATTTGCCCATTGGAAACTTTAGATGGGTTAGTGAGCTAGACAGGTTTACTTCAGAGTACATTCAAAAACTTTCGCCTTACTCTAAAACTGGCTACATGTTTGAAGTGACTCTCAGTTACCCCGAACACTTACACGATTTACGAGATGATTTTCCTCTAGCACCCGAAAATATTCCAATTCCAAACGAATGGATGTCAATTACACTTTTTGTGTAATTGATCAACAGCGCTTCGCCTTTCCAATAGCCTAGCGGACTATAAAACAATCTTGAGAATTCTTTGTCCATTTTAAAATAAAGTTAAACAAACCGATACGACAAAAAAACGACCAAAGCAGTTCCTCCGAGAATCCAAACGAGTTCTTTAACCCATTGGTCTTTCGAAGGCACGTAAATGCGTTTGAAAGATCCAACAGCTATACACGATTTTTTTCCAGGTTTGTTTGGCTTGCGCAAATTGTTCTAAAGCCAAATCGTTTCTCTTTTTTTCTTCGTCCTCGCGTTTTTGAGACAGGCTACTAGAATGACGCGATACCTGATCAAGAACGGTATCGATTGAAACGACACCTCTGCGTGACGTGAAATTCTCAAAGTTAGTTCTCATGACGGAGCCTCTCGTCTATTATCAAGTTATATAAAAAAAATGATAAAATGTATTTATGTAATATCAAAATAAAGATGGAAACAAAACTGTGTAATCGTTGCCATAAACAGGAAGATTTGAAATCATTTAAGGTTAAAGTTAATGGTGAAACACGCACAAATTGTAACGATTGTAACATTTTAGCTGAAAAATATAATGCTCGTTATAAATGTCTCAAAGGAGGGCGGAGATGCCGTTGCATTAATAACGAAACATTAAGCTGTCAATAAAAGTTCTTATAGATTAAAAGAAGATGTCGACGGAAGCAGCAGAGGAACAACCGCAAGTTCCACCATCGAGTCCGACCAGGACACCCTCAGAAAAAGTTACACGGAATAAAAATCCAAAGCGAGTCGAACAAGGCAAGCGCTTAGCAGAACATATTATGAAGAAACTACTTTTACAATTAAAAGCTGGAGAGCCTGCCGAGTCCGACACCAAAAGCAAAACTTGCCCGTCTTTTGCGGATCACAGAAACTTTATTTTAGGCAGATTGTTGATTGGCGGAATCACTCTCGCGTTATTTTTAAAAAAG